CGGGTCCTCTTGATGTGTCCCCGCTCTGCACCCAAGGAGATTTACCACTCAGAACCCACCGGCTCTGTGGACCAGGAGGCAGAAACCAGGCCAGCAGGGAGGCTCCGAGCATGGCTCTTATGAAAACCCCGGCTCTGGAATTCACCCATTAAAAAAAAAAAATAGGGGAGAGAGAACCCTTTACAAAGTTAGAAAGAAATCTTGCTTTAGTCCATTATGATAAACTCCACACCCTTTTCTTGGGTAATTGAGGCTCCACAATCATCCGGCCTCTGTGGGCCTTTTCCTACCACCCTGCCCTCCTGGCTCACTTGCTTCTTTCCGGTCCTCCATACGATCGCCTCCCTCCTGCCTCAGGGCCTTTGCACCTGCCATAGGGCAGCCCCTTCTCTGCTCTTCCTCTTCTTCAGTCGATTGTAGCTCAAATGTTTACCTTCCACCCCGCCCTCAGAAGCTTCCTCTGAGCCCTCTTCAAAGGAACGCTCCTGTCACCCTGACCTTGTCTGTGGCTTTTATGGTACCCACCACAACATTTTCTTGCCTTCTTGTCTAACCTCTACTGTCCACGAGTCTGTAAGGACCCAGTGTAACTGGGGCCCCGTGTTCTGGGTGTCTCGCCCGCTGCCAAGACTCTCCCTGGCGGGGTGTGGTCAAGGCCTGTGGCAGGCTCCCTGGAGAGGGCTGCCTGGGGCTCCCACAGCAGGGCAGCTCACCTGCTTGGGGAGGGAGCAGGAGCGGGCTCCTCTAGAGTGGCCGGCCTCACCCTTGAGCTCCTGTCAGAGGCTTCCCAGGGACCCTCTGCACCGGGGTGGGGGACGCCCATTTCTAACAGGTCCCTGCAGAAGGCGGGCCAGCGGCCCACAGGACCAGAAGCTCTGATTTAAGTCATTTTGCAATTCCAGAAAATTACCCAGGGAGTGGGGATGGGCTTTTGGAGGAACCGTCTATTCTGTGAGCTCCGTAGAGAGATCCTGTGCGAGGCCGATGTCACGCAGTGTCCTCCGCAGGGAGACGGGGAGCAACGTGCACTTCTTGGAGAGGGGGCGGCAGGAGGACGAGAATGAAACAGAGAACTGGCAGGTAACCTAGGGGACATGGGGGAGAGGGGTGTGTGCGTGTGTGTGTGCATGTGTGCATGTGCGTGTGCCTTCACAGAATTTTCAGGGCATAACAGAAATACACAGGCCCCAGAAAAAATCCAACTTATGAAACAAAACTCAGTTCTGATGACCCAGGGTTTTCCAGCTGGTGTGCGCCAAATCCTTGGGATCTTAATAAAAATGACGGAAGCTCCGGTGGGGGCTGGAGCTGTGTGCCGTGACCGAGTCCTCCGAGGGTGACAGGGAATGTCACAGGGGGAGCCCATTCCCCGTGGCCTGGCCTGACGGTGCCAGACCAGCATTTAGAGGCTCCCTCACTCCATGCCAAGTTCTGCCAGTTACCTGTTCCATGAACTGGGCAAGGGTTCCTGTTGCCCCTGCGGCCTCCGCGTTCTCGTCTGTGAAGTGGGCACAGTGATCAACAGGCACACGTGGCCGTGCCCGGCTTGAAGGACAGCACTTGTCACCGAAGACGAGTGGCATCGGCTGCTTTGTCACCCTGCTTTTGGGTGCTCTGTGCTCTTCCCTGAACCAGGGAAATGACTTCCACCAAGAGGTGGGACCAGGCCACAGTTGGTCACTCAGAGGCTAACAAGGGCCCCGTTTCCTCTGCCTCCCTGGGAAGAAGGGCCGGGTCCCTCTCCCTAGAGCCAACCTCAGGGCGACCAGGCTGGAGATGGGTTAAAAAGGCTCCGCTTACAGACAGACTTGATCGCTTGGGCCTCAGGTCAGGTGCCAGGACTGGACCACAGGCAGGTCCCAGGCACATGCATTTTGAAAGGCCTGAGGTCCCGAGAGACCACCCTGAGGGAAGCACTGGCCCAGTGAGCTGTTCCCTGCGGCTTTGCAAATGGCAGCACATCCTCAGAGTCGGAACCAACCCCCCTCCACAGACAGCTGCTGCCACCTGCTCATATCACAGATGAGGAAACTGAGGCCCAGCCATCCCCGTCCCAGCTGGGCGGAAGTGGGGGGACGCGCTCCTTCAACTGGTTCATTATCGGCTTTCCAATTCCATTCGGGGTTTTGAACAGGAGCAATGGCCCAGACTATCGATAGCTTGGCCATAATTCCATAATGACCCAATCGTGAAATAATGTAGCCATCCCGATGCTAACTGTATTTGTGGATAAAGCAATTGGGTAACTAGCTGGTTGTTACTCATCCCCCAGAGCCATGCATAGCGCATTACCAGGACGCTAATCTTAGAAATACTCGTTAACTTTGATGATAATTACTAAGTAATTGGCTAGAATATGCTATTGTGAATTTATCCAGAATATGCCAGGTAATTATCTGGTTTTATGCTCCCTGTAAAATAAACCCCGGATCTCAGAATTATTCTAGTCGGTTGGCTACGGTCCAACCATCGACCTCTGCCAGTCCATCCTGTGAACGCGCAAGTGATTAATCAAATTACTCAAATATTTAGTTTCCAATCGAATATTCGATGCGGATTCTGGATGGCCAACAAGTGGACGCGGCGCTGGACGGGGTTGGGGGGGCACGCGGAGCCCCTCCCGAAGAGAAATATCTACCCAACACAATGATATGGAATAAACGCCACCTCTTTGGGGCTCATCTGGCAATCCTCACACAAAATAGCAAAACACTTCAGAGACCAATTACATGTCCCAAAGCTGCCGAGTCTTTATCTCGGTGCCAGGAAAAGGCTGGGCTATTTGTGAAATCTGTAGGTAGTTATGGGGCTTGGGGAGGGGGCTCAGAATTTTGTGCATAATAGGAGAGGGGGCCGCCGATGCAGCTGGCTGGCGGGGTGAGCGACACATTTCCATAATGACCACTCGGTTTTTTTCTAAGGGTGGCTGCTAACTGGGTCCATCCACTGCCCATGAGCCAGACGTTGGGGAGGGGGCGAGGGAGACAGGCAGAGAGGTGTGGGGAACAGGTCTCCACGGATAATCCTCAAAAAGTAAGAGAAGAGGCAGGAGGTCCTTCGAAGGGTCAAGAAGAGGAGGCACAAGTTTCTAATTTGGGGGTAGGAAAAAAAAGTAGGGCCAGGCGGGTTGGTGCCTGCCTATAATCCCAGCAGCTCGGGAGGCTGAGGCAGGAGGATCGAGAGTTCAACGCCAGCCTCAGCAACTCAGTGAGGCCCTAAGCAACTCGGGGAGACCCTGTCTCTAAACAAAATATGAAAATGGGCTGGGGATGTGGCTCAGTGGTCGAGCGCCCCTCGAGTAGGGTTAACAGAGAAAGTGGGGTTACTGAAAGTGGGAAGAAGATGGGGGGCAAGACCATCTTTCAGCCAAATTTGTGCATCCTGAGTGAGGGGTCCCTGCCTCCTGCTGAGAGGAGAGAGTACCTCCTAGGGAAGAGGGGACAAAGGGAGCCCAGGTCCTGCTGCCGAAGATCACACAAACGGCCACAGGTTGTCCCTACAGATCCTCCTGTTCAGGGGTCCAGTCTGTTTCTCTGCCCCTTGAATCTGGTGACCACAGGGGTTGCTCTGGCCAGTGGATGCCAGCGAAGACGTCCCAAGCAGAGGCATGATCACACACTGTGTGCCAGGCCTTGACCCCTTGCTGTGCTCGGGGACTTGAGGACATCCTAGGAATAAACCTGAACCAGGTCGCTGGGGGTCAGAGGCCACATGGAGCAGGACGGAGGCGCCTGTTGATGGTCTGTCCACCACCAGACAAAGGAGTGACTGCATCCAGGATGGACCAGGCCTCCGTCCACCTGCCAGCTGACCACAGCCAACGGTGTGGCCACAGTCACGGAGCCTGGTCCAGCCCAGAACTGCCCACAGGATGGGGAAGCCCCAAGGTAACTGAGCTTACACAGCCTGATCATCGTGGCTCAGCCCTGACTGGTGGATGACCACAGAGGCACCTCTGTCCTGGGTAGAGTGACAGCCACCATTTTTCCTGGTTTAAGGAAGGCTGAGGGATCTTCAGTCCCCCACAAGCACTTTCCGTTCGACACCCCGGCCCCCGTCAACCACGGCCTGCACAATCAGCAGTGTCAATCACCAAGGCCTCCTGAGTGGCCTGGGACCCTTCCCAAGAGGAGAGACTTCTGCCCTGGGATCTCATCACCTGAGGTCTTCTAATGTAATAAGGGAGCACAGCCAAAGCTCAAAATCACACCAAAGGACTGTTCACAACTGTTCCCGGGAAACCAAAGCTAATCTTTTACCATTGCCTGCCTCACATCACCAAGTGAGGACAGAGAGAGAGTCCCCAAAGTCCCTGTCATCTGACATTCTGTTACTGTTAATTCTCCACCCATGACCACTCCGCATGTCCACGGACCATAGATCCTGGAAATTCATAAGGGTGACGGTAAAGATCAGAAATGTACTCTGAGATGGCCACGGAAGCCAGAGTAACACCCACAGAGCCTCCGCTCAGAAATTAGGAAGCTACGGCCCATGGGCCAAACCCAGCCCACCACCTGGTTTGTAAATAAAGTTTTATTGGAACACAGCCATGCAGATTCATGCACACCTAGACGGCAGCTTATGCACTAGCGCAGAGCTAAATAGCTGCTCCAGAAACTGTGTGCCTGCAAAGAGCCAAGTATTTCACTCCTAGATACTTTGTAGAAAAAGTTGGCCACTGCCTGGTTTAGGGCCACTGCCTGGATTAGGGTCACCCACCCACTTTGCATACAAGGAAAGCCAGCCCCAGGGATTCCCTACACAAAAGCTTAGAGCAGAAGGGGAATTCGACCCCGATTCTCTGACCCCCCATTCAGTCCTCACACGAGGCTTTGGGGAAGAGGTCAGCGTCACAGGTTATTTCCTGGGGACTTAAAGATTGCAAGGAAGCCGTTTGCGGCACCCCTGGACACCGCCTATCAGCCAGACGAGCGATTAACCAGAACCGCATCTCCTGACTGCACCCGGAGCCACGGTGGCAGCCAGAGGGGACTGACCTGGTGATGATGGCCAGGTGCGGCGGGCTCATGCAGGCGCCCATGAAAAGGACCACGTTCTCGTGGCGCGTCTGCCTGTAGGCCATCACCTCCCGCTTGAAGGCCTTGAGCTGGTCCTCGTTGTCCCTCTCGATGTCGATCAGCCGGATGGCCACCTCGCCGTGCCAGCGGCCGTGGTAGACCTGCCCGAAGCGGCCCTTCCCGATGAGCTCACCGATCTCCAGCTGCTCGAAGGGGATGTCCCACTCCTGCAGGAACATGCTGGTCTGGCTGGCCTTGCGCGGGAAGCTCCGGGCCGAGAGGAGGGACAGGTTCATCTCCTCGAAGTCATCTTCCGACTCCTCGGCTTCGTCACGGCCCTCTTCGTTCTGTGGCCGGAGGGGGGGAGAAGGTCAGAGCCACTGCTGCCACCCACTGCCCCACCCTCCCTCGGGGTCCCCAGGGGGTCTGGACACATGGCATCTCCATGAGGCTGCTGCAGACATAGCTCTGTGTCCCCAGGTGGCTTAGGTCCAGAATCGTAAGACAAAGGAGATCCTGAGAGGCAGATCTGAGAGCCACCCTGGGGGGTGGGGGACACTAGGGACAGGAATGTAAGGGGACCACGCCTTCCGGTTTGCTGAGACCTCTGTGGTTCTAGCCCTGGGGAACGTGGGAGAGGCCAGAGCCACAGGGCAGAGGCTCGAGGCTCCAGTAGCAGGAAGGAGCCTGGCATTTGTCCTGTGAATAGACGGGGCTTAACAGTTGGACCGAGTGAGCTGGCCGCTGGGCTCTGTGTGGCCTTGGGGGAGTTGCTCTACTTTTCTGGGCCCTTTCTTCCTTGGAAAGTGGAAGCGATGAAATCTGCCCTGGGGGGTGGGGAAGGTTTCAATGAGATGGAGAGCGGCTAAGTTCTTTGCACGGACCTGAGCACCTGTACCCAACACCAGCTCGGAGCCCTGAGAAAATACAGACTCCTGGGCCCCATCCAGATCTACGGAGCCAAAATATCAGCAGGCCAGGGACGGGAATCTGTGTTTTGACCTGGCATGTCAACCTGACGAGTATGCTCAGATGTGACCATCTCCAAATTGAGCCACTCAAGGTTTTGGGACCCACCTGCCCAGACTGCTGTTTCAGAGTGTCTGGGGCTTGGGGATGCTGCAACTCTTGGATCCTTTGGCTGCAATGTGGGAATGTGCCCAAGCCAGTAGGGACTTCCAGGGGCCCTGGGACCTCATAAGACAACCTGAGAGAATGGCCACTTAACTGGGTATGAGCTTCTTGACCACAAATACCCGAGAAGCTGCCCTCTTTGGCCTGATGAGGACAATTAGCACAGGTCATGTGTCTTCTCCCGTGACCATTTCCGAGGGACCATAGTAGTCCCCCAAAAGGACCTGATTTTCCCTGGAAACCCTGCTTCTGTGCCTTTAAGTTCAGGACACACTAGCAGAGTCAAGGGACGGGACTCCACGGTTCTCACCAAGGGACATTCTATTTATGCCTTCAGAATAAATAAAATTTCCGGGCAGGTGGAAAGGAGGCCCAGAACATTCCCAACGGCCTGCCAAGCCCAGTATCCCTGGCGCCCCATGTCCCCCGGCCATGTATTCTTTGGAAGGCAGCGGGGCACATCCCCCTTGGTACCCACCCTGCTCTGGGCTAATTTTTCAACTAAGAATGCAAATCTCATGCCAATTTTTGCCTTCTGCACCGTACACACCATATAACGGCCCATTAGGCTCGGTGCCGGGAGGGGCCAGTGCCCGGTTATTGTCCTAGAGTGGGAACATCCATCAAGCAGCCACCGCACCCGCCTCCCACCCGCCCCGAGCCGTCTGCGTCACCCAAGACCCAGGTGGGCAGCCCCTGGGAAAGGCTGCTCCCGGCTCTCACCTCCGAGGTTGGCTCCACTTCAATTTGAAGTAATGGATTTCCTTCCAAGCTTGAAAGAAAGAAAAAAAAATGGGACCCTTAGGTGGAACAGTGGGTGTGTGTGTATTCAAGCTCGCCACGGGTGAAGTGTCCCAAGATGGACGTCCTCCCTACAAGCCTTCATCTCACGTGTCATGTCAATACTTGGTTCTGAAATCATCCATAGCCGAGTCCCACAAAGGGCACAGGGACATTGTTCTCGATAGATTTTTTGGGCTCGTTTTTTGTTATTGCTACTGAGGGGTCTCTTGATGGGATGGGGCCTGAACTCTCAGAGGCCTGCATGTCTGCTGGGAAAGAATGAGTCTAGTTTCTAAAGTTCCCTCAGATCCAGAATCTTCTGGAAAGATCTTACTGTTCATTTGTCCATCTGCTTATTCACTCATTCATTCATTCATCCAACCCAAATCCTCGGCCAGGAGCAGCACCCAACCCTTAGAGGGAGACACATCAGATGGGCCTGGCTGGCTCGTGACTTTAGGGGACTTTAGGTGACTTTAGGGACAGTTCTATTCTACTGCGAGAATGAAGGCAAGTTGGTAGCAACTGTGCAGAGGGGCTCAAAGGAACAGGGGCCCAAGTGAGGTGTGGATTGAAGCAATGGAGTGCGGTGGAGACCCCAAGGAGAGAGAATTGCTGGACGTGTTTGAAATGTCACGGGGTTGGAGTTGGACCTTGTCAATTACACAGAACTGGTGTGCGTGGAATGGATATAAGGTGACGGTGGTGGACGGGAGGAGTCAGGTGTGTGTGTGTGTGTGTGTGTGTGAGAGAGAGAGAGAGAGAGAGATGCATCTGAAGGCTCGTGAGTGCAGCTGGACTCTAGGTGTGTGGGTGCTGGACTTGGGGTGCTGGGTGTGGGTTTGTGCATGTGGGTCAGAGTGAGCTCTGTGCAGGAGCTGTTTTGTGTGTGTGTGTGTGTGTGTGTGTGTGTGTGAGCTGGGTGGACATGTTGGCGTTAGGGAGGGTGCTGTGTGCTGATGGTGTAACTGGGTAGGGGCTGAGTGCAGGGACTGTTGGACAGGTAGTTTGGTGACGGAATATGGACACAGTGTGAATCGGGACCTGTTTTCAGACTCCCGGGGGAGGGTGTGTTTCCGGGTGCAGGAGGGCAGGTAGCATCTGGGCTACTGAAGGCCCACAAGAGCTGGATCAGGTAGGAAAAGGGACTCACAATGATGGCCTCGCTCCCTCCCTAGTCCTCCAGCTGAAGCTGAGCAGACGCCCTCTGCCCACCTCCTCGCTGTGTGTGGGGACCCTCCCCGCATCCAGACCCTCAGGTTCCAGGAAGCTGCTGACCCTGCAGACAGAATCAACCCACTTCCTGGAAGGGGTCCTGGCTGGAGGAAGTTTGGAAGGACCATGATCTCAAAGAAGGGGGAAAGGAGGACATCACAAAGTGTGTGCATTGTCCAGTTATTCATAGCGCCTCCTAGGAAGGCCCCGTCAAACTGCACAGTGACAGCTGACAGGTTAGGAGCTCAGCGCCCCCGGGTGGGACAATGCAGTTGGAGTCCCCCCTCCGGGTGCCTGGCGGACCTCCTCCTTTTGCATTAAGACCGTGACTCCCGCAGCTAGGGTGGTATGATGAGTCCCCTCTGGGAACAGTGAGTCCCCGTCCCTCCATGCATCTAAGCGGACCTCAGGAGCTCCTGACTCTGCTCTCCACACACTCCCTGACCCTCAGTTAATAACCTGGAGCTCGTCTTGCACAAATGGTGGAGTTGGTTTTTGTGCTGCAGAAAAATGATCTGGAGCAAGGTGTCAGCACAATGTCCCCTGGCAAATTGCTGCTCCTTTGATTTCAGAGATGTGCCATTTGGTTCTTTAACAATGTCCTAAGGCAGGTCCAAATGGATGGAGCAGCTTCAGGAGCCCGAAGAGAAACCAAGTAGGCAGAAAAGGATGTTGGGAACCGGCCCAATCCTCAGACACCGCAGACTTCAGCCACAGCCAAAGAGACCAAGGGGGAAGAGGCCACCTGCAGAGAGGGCCGGCCTCCCTAGGGGGCTGCACCTGAGGATGTTCATCCTAGTGTTGTTTACAGCAGTGAAATACAGGACTCAATGGAAATTCAGGAAGAAGGGACAGGGTCATGGAAATGAGTTGGTAGGACATTTCACTGTCATTAAAAAATAACGTCTAGGAAGAGTCTGGAACAATATGGAAAAAGTGGTGTCACAGCATGAAAGATAACCAGGCTGGGTCCCTGCATATCTCACGGAGCCCAAGGAGGAATGGAGCCTGCGCTATTTCCACCGGGCTCTAAACCAGAGGTGGCGAGCCTTTTCTGCCAAGGGCCACAGAGCCACAGGGCCACAGGGCTGGCTTCTGTACAGGGACTCAACCCTGCTGCCTACTGGGAAAGCAGCCGCGGGAAAGACACCGCCAACAAATGTGCCTGGTTAGGTGCCAATAAAACTTTATTTGTGAAAACAAGCAACAGGTTGGACTTGTGTCCTGGGTCATCACTTACTGATCCCCCGTATAAATCTAAGTGACACTTTTTAAAGGGGGAGGGACAATGACCTAGATTAAGTGCATTTCATAACGTTCTGCCTTAGAAAAGTTCTTTCTAATCCCAGGAAGTGGGGTCCCGGGGTCCTGAGGGTCCTACTTGCCACGAGGGCCAGAGCCACAGGCAGAGCTGGCTAGTGGCGGTGACGCCCTCTCCTCTCCGTCTCAGCCTGTGTGTCCTGGCCTTCCTTCTCTCTGCCCGAGTCCTGCCATGTGTCCCCCCCGCTCCCCGCCCCGTCTATTCCAGAGGAAGGAAGGAGACCAGACCAGAGCAGACTGAAGGCCCAGATTTCATAGCACAGGGCAGGGGACAGTGGCCTCTGCTCTACTTACATTGGATTCGAAGTCACCGGATGCAGGATGACCTGGGGCGCCCGGGTTGGCGTCTCTGGCACCGGCACTACATCTGAGCGTGAAATCCAACCGTCAGAAACCAAACATGGAATGCAGAGTGTCCCCCAGAGGCCGGACTCCTAATAACACTTCACCACATCGGGGTCCCGGGGGCCGGCCAATCCCCTTTGTCCCTTCCTCAACCACTGGGACTTTACACGCTGAGATGACCCCCTGCACATAGCCCACCACTGTGGTCTGGGGAGCTGCTCTGGCAGCTTCCCCTAAGCATCTAGCCAGGAAGGCCTGTTGATCACCTCTGAGTCTCCCTCACTCCTGAGTTCCCTGAGTTCCCTTGGGACCGGGGGCCAGTTGGTCTGGCATCTTCCAGCAAGGGCCTCTCTGACCATCCCTCCCCTGCTACGTGACCCCTCCTCTGCCTTCCACAGCAGATCACCCTCTCAGACTTTTCACTGTGGTTGGGGACCACTTTGGTCCCCTGATGCCCTTGAGACCTCCCACCCTGATGTCCACTTCCACATCCAGCCATTATCCTGGGGTGCGGTGACCCCCACTACCTCTTCCATGGGTGCATCTCACCATTCCCCTCTGCCCATCCCGGCAGCTGCTCCCGCCTGTCGGCAGGGCCGCCCACAAACGCGACACTCACCTGGGAAGATGAACTGCTGCTTGTACTTGTAGTAGTGAGAAGCTTGACAGAGAGAGAGAGAGAGAGAGAGAGAGAGAGAGAACAGTAGTGTGAGAGTCCCTCCAGGTACCAAGATGGGCTCCTCCCATGTCCTCCACGTCTCTGTCCCCCCAGAGCACTTCCACAGGTACCCCAAATTTCAGGGGATTATGAACGTGTGTGAGGAGACCAGAACTCTAAGCACCCTGTCCGATGTCCCCGGTCACTCACGCTCCCTAAAACCAGACCACTCCCACTTGGCCAGTCGTCCCAAACACAAAGCCGTATTTTGTTAAATGCATAATTACAAACAACAGAGTCTGTAAAGCCACAATCTAAAATATTAATTCTTTGCCTTTTGGCAGAATGATGACCGTGACTTTAATAAAAAAAAAAAAAAGAAACAGCATGCCTGCTGTTCCCGTGCTTTCTAAGTTTCCACACTGAGCACCAAGACCTTTGCTTTTCCGTTGCTGTCGCACATGACTGCAAACTCGTGGATTAGAACAACCCCAGCGTGGGTCCTCTTCCAGTGGGGAGCTCCCGAGGCCAGAGTGAGTCTTAAAGGGCTAAAATCGAGGGCTCTGTTCTTTCGGGGATCCCTGGAGACTCTGACCCCCGGCTTCTCCAGCTGCTTGAGGCCGAGGGCTCCCAATCTCATCCTTCCAATCTCTGCTTGTGCCTGACATCACTTTCTACCGCCGGTGACCTTCCTGCCTCCCTGGGATAAGGATCGCTGTGATTACATGTAGGGCCACCAGGATAATCTGACATCTCGAGATCTGTGACTTAATCACATCGGCAAAGATCCTTTTTGTCGTGTCCAGTAGCAGATCCTGGATTAGGACAGGGGCTTTTTTTTTTTTTTTTTTCCTGAGAGGGACATTATTCTACTTATCACAAGCGTAAGTAAAACCTGTGCTTAGGAAACAGTTATGTACAAGAAACGGCCGGGACTGTGCTGCTGATTCTCTACCAATTCCTTCGCTCCTTGGTCCACTCACCAGGGGTCAGGGGGCTCAGATACTAGGTTCCTTACTTTCTTTTTTTTTAATACATTTTTTTTAGTTGTCAATGGACCGTTGTTTTATTTATTTGTATGTGGTGCTGAGAATTGAACCCAGTGCCCCCCACATGCCAGGCAAGTGCTCTGTCACTGAGCTGCAGCCCCAGCCCCAGATACTAGGTTTCTAATTTACCTCTTATTTCTTTGGGGTACAGTGTCTGAGAATAGGGAGCAGGTCACACAGTTTTAGATGCCCTCATAAATGAAATGGACAGATATGGGGTTAGATATGAGTCTGAACTGCCAAATCCACTTCCAGAAACTGTTTGATGACGCCCAGCGACGAGCTGCCCCTCAGAGCTGGCCCACCGAGGGTTAGCCTGGGGGTTCTGAGCCCCCTGGTTCTGAGCCTGGGGTCAAGAAGGCGGTCCTGCAGGATGGAATCCTGTCTCTGCTGTGGGTTCCTTGCAAAAGCCAAAGCAAATCTCTGTGCATTGCAGGTTCCTTGCACAAAACAAGGTCAATAACAGTCCTTTCCACACAGGGCTAGGACCCTCGTTCCCAACGAGCATGTCGTAGGTTCTAAATAAGAACAGTCAGCCCCCGGGCACCCAGAGGTCCCACATCAATAGATGTGACTAATCCAGGATTGGAAATATTTGAAAATAAATGGCATCTGTCCTGAACATTACTGAACATGTACAGACTTTTATCCTTGTCATTATGCCCTAAGCAACGTAGCAGAACCACAATTCCCACAGCGTTTGCATTGTATCAGGCATTATGAGTCATCTAGAAACCATTTAAAGTCTATGAGAGAATGCGCGCAGGAGCCACACGGATACTGAGCCATGGGACATATGACACTTGGGCATCCATGCATCTGGATGTTCAAGAGGGTCCTGGAACCCCAGGATCCTGAGGGAGGCATGTGTTATTTGCATTGAGCGAGCAGACGCTTCAAAAAGCTCTCAACTCAGGGACGAGCAGGATCGATGATCAAGGCAATCAGATAGCTTCACACACTAAGTCCTTTGTTTGGGGGAAGGAAATAAAACAGCCCGAGGGGTTGGAACTGATTCACAAGCTCCTTCAGGACAGAGAGTCAATCCCAGCGTCTCAGGATCCCAAACTCCGTGCACACACGCATGAGCAACACACACCCGTGGCAACACACATCTGTGCCTCTTTGATCACAGAGAAAACAGCAGTGACTTTTAGCTTAGACCATTTGCAGATGATTTCAGGGAGCTGAAGTCCAGGTGGATTTTGGCTCTGGAAAACGGGGTGTCCAGAATAGCAAACAACTCACTCCGGGTTCCAGAGCAGAGCTCGCAAAGAGACACAAACCTGCAGGACTCGACTCCAGGGGCTGTTTATTTTCCCCCGTTACATAACCTAGGTTTCTGATGGCACGCAGCCATTTTGCCAACAAGAGGCCAAGATTAAAAAAAGGACAAACTCCTCTCGGGCGGCTTAGCTGATCTCTTTCCCCCGAGCTCTGACGGGGCTGGGAGCATCCTGGGTCTGCAGGAGAGATTAGCTGGTGGTCAAGTTCCTCTAAGAAGGAGGGGCTGGGCTGTGGCGCAAGAGCTGTCTGGGAGGTCTGAGGGCCTGGCCTGGCAAGGGGCCACCCCCCAGATGCCTCCATGCCCCGGGGCCAACCCCAGCCTTGACCCTTCCCTGGGCCACAGGACATCTCGTTCCTGATGGCTGAAAAAAGATGAGAAGAGAAAGTGTCCCAGGAGACCTGCTCTTCTGTGGCTAAGTCACCACACAGAAGCAGGGATACACCTGAGCGGGCAGCAGGGCAGCCAAGCTGCTCCTGGCTTCCTGGCGTCAGAGAGGAGTTGGGGCCCTGGAGCCACAGAGGGGTGGGGGGGAGAAGTAGGTGACAAACCTTCACACCTATATTGACTTGGTTCACACCTGTCACTCCTGCTGAGCCACAGACCCCATGATAAGAGATTGTTGGGGACAGAATAATGTCCCCATCCAAAAGATGTCCCTGCCCTGATCCCTGGACACATTACCTTCGATGGCAAAAGGGACTTGCAAAAGAGCCTTGGGATGGGGACACTGTCCCGATTCACCGGGAGGAGCTCAATGTCAATTACAAGGTCCTTGTAAGAGGGAGGGCAGAGGGTCAGAGTGAGAGAGAGATGCAGAGGAGCTGTGGTAATGGCTGGGCCGTGAGGGCCCAACAGAGGAACAGGCCCAGCCTCCAGAGGCCAAGGAAGGCAAGAGGTACAGCCTCCTCCACAGCCTCCAGAATGAACCAGCCACGCTGGCACCTTGAGTTTTATCCAAGTGACTCCAGGCTGCACATTCAGAGCTGGGTCCTGGCATCGGGGTGGATGGAGAAGGCGGCCCTGCTCAGGTGGGTGTCTCTCAGACCCCAAGAATCACGCTGTCCGTTTCAACACACTTGACTCATAGGACAACCACTGGTTCCAGAGTAGAGGGTCCCCCTGCAACTTAGGGGAAGCTACCGGGTGCTGTTGACCAAAAGACCATCTCTAAGAGTCCCTGAAGCCCCCTGTGCCTCAGTTTCCTCATCTTTGAAATAGACCTGTATACTCCCTCCTGGTTCCTCTAAAGAGTAAATAAGGTCACATATGACGATCGTCCTGCATATGGCAAAAGGTTTACCATTGCTATGAGCCTCCCTGGCCCTCTCTGGTCATCAGCCCACTGCCTTCCAGCAAGGACCAGCCCCATCCCAGCCTTGGCATGGACCCCACCCCTCCTTCACCTCTGCGCCACCAACGCTCTGTGACTGGCATCTCCCTGAGCCTGGAGGTACCTGGCAGGTTGAAGTTCTTCTGCTGCCTCGTGCACTGCGGGGAAGGGTGCAGGGGAGAAGGCGGCGTGGCGCTGGGAGGGAGCGGGGGTGCTGGTGAGGACGGCGTGGACGACGTCGTGGATGAGGGGTTGCTGCTGGAGTCTGGCTGGTAAGGGACAGGGATGTGGTCCTGCAGAGAGAAAAGAGGGCAGGGGTCAGGACCGGGCAGGGAATCAGAGACAGCAGAAAGAGTGAGCCGAGCAGGAAGGAGCCCCTCCCCCCAGGTTCCTTAGCAACTCCCGCCCCTTTTCTGCTGTCCCCAGGTCCCTCCAGGGTCCCAGCTGTTTCATCAGCTCTACCAGTTGGCATCCAGCTGTGGAAGGAATGGCATCCGGAATCAAACCCCTGGGCACTGCTTGGACCCCAGAGTGAAGGGTTGTTGCGTAATGAAAACCACACAGGTGACAGCCACGTGCCCCGTGCCTCTTTGATTCTGGAAAGCCCCATGTGGAGGTGCCCAGAAGACACTCCTCATCCTAACACCTCTCCTCCTGAGTGTTTATTAAAGAATCAGCAGCCCGACAGCGGCAGAGAGCGGGAGCGAGAGCCTCCAGCATCTCTGCCCACGTCTTGGCTGGAATCTGCACCCCTCTCCTTGCCGGAGACCAGCTCCACAGTGAGGCAAAGACAGGATCCAAGTGTGCATCCTCAGATGGCCTTGGGGGGCAGGTTAAGAGGACGATGTCGTGGAGAGAATGGTGTCCCCATCCCCCAAAGACAGGTCACTCCGAAATTCAGAATCCAATCGTATTAGGAATAAGGGTCTTTGCAGATGTAATCAAGGTAAGGGTCTCCAGGAGGGACCAGCCTGGATGAAATCCAATGACAAACACCCTTATTAGGGACAGGCGAGGACAGGCACAGAGGACAAAGCCAGGTGAAGATAGAGGTGGAGACGGGAGGGAGGAAGTCACCGTCAAGGATTGCTGGGGCCACCTCAGAGGCCACCGAGACTCCAGCAGGCACTTCTGGTGACATTTTGCCATTGCTCAGTGGTGTTCTGTGACATAGATGGACCACAGTGTGTTTAACCACTACCTACTAAGTTGCTACCCGTCATTGGCTATTGTGGACCAAGTTGCTATAAACATTTTTGCACAGGTTTTAAGTACAACATGCTTTTATTGGACTGGAAATAAAGGCTCAGGGGTGCAATTTCTTGATAATGTGGTAATGACATGATTAGTTTTCAAAGAAAATGGAAAAATGGTTCTCCAGAGGGGCTGCACCGCTTTGCACCCACAGGCCACGAATCCCTGATTTTCTCAGTATCCTAACCAGGGTTTAGCTTCGTCACCATTTCTCTTTTTTTTTTATTCTGATAAGAGTGTAGTGGTATCTCATTATGCATTTAATTTGCATTTACCTAATGGCTAATGACACGGAACATCTTTCATGTGCTTATCTGCCATCTGTATATGCTTTATGGTTTTGATGACTGTAGCTGTATAAGAAGCTTTGAAATGGGGTAGAATTTTTTTTTCCATTTTATTCTCTTTTCAAAAGTGGGTTTTTTTTTTCTATTCTACTTCCTTTGGCTTTTCATATAACTTTTATTAGACAGTCTTGTATTTACCTACAACAAATCTCGCTGGGGTTTTGGTACGAGTTATACTAACCCCATGTAGCAATTTTGGGGAGAACTGACTTCTTGACTATGTTGAACCTTACAATCCATGAACATGGTATATATTTTAATTTCCTAGGGCTATTGTAAGAAAGTATCAACAACGGAGTGGCTTTAAAAAAAAACATGAATGTATTCTCTCACACTTCTAGAGGCTCCACATCTGAAACCCAGGTCCTAGCAGAGCCATGTCTCAAGCTCCCCCTGAGACTTTAGGTAGACCCTTCCTTGCCTCCTCCTGACCTCTGGTGGTGGTTGCGGTACTTGGCATCACCCGGTTTGTAGCTACAACATTCCAATCTCTACCTTTTTTTGTCACATGGTGCTTTTCCTGTAGATCTCTGTTTGTCTTCTCCTTTTCTAATAGATGTGAAAGTCATACTGGGGTGAGGGACCACCACTCTGACATCATCTGAACTAGACTACATCAGCAAAGACCCTTTTTACAAATAGGGTCACATTCACAGATCCACGGGGTCAGGACTTTGTCTTATATTTATAGGGGACAAAGCCTGATTCCCAAAAGTACATCCCTCCATTTCTATAGGTCTTTGTTTCCTTTCCCTAGAATTTTGCAGTTTTTAGCATACAAGTTCTGTGGATGTTTTATTAAATTTATCTCTATTCTCATTTCATTGAGCAATTATAATGGTGTATTTTAAATTTAGGCTTCCATATGTTAATTGCAAGCAGACTGAAATACAACTACTTTGTGAATATTGACTTTGTGTCTTGCTATATTGCTGAACTGGCAATTCATTCTATTAATCCCAGGGCGTGTTTCTTTTTATTTTGCTTCTTGTATATGCTTTGGGGTTTCCTACATAGACAATGATGTTATCTGCAGATAAGGACAGTGTTTTCTTTTCAATTGGAATATCCCTCCCTCCCTGCCCCCTCTCTTCATTTTCTTTTCTTGTCTTCTTGCGATGGCTAGAACCTCCAGCACTAAGTCTAACAGGAGTGGTGAGAGTAGACATTATCTATATTTGGGAATTGCTAAGAAATTTGAACTTATAAGTTTATGTCTTGAGCCCAATGGCATCCATGCTAGCTTCTTCAAGTCCCAGTCTGGGATATATGAAGCCAAAAGGAGTTTCACGGGGCTCATTGTGAACCTCTAGCTGCTGCCTTATTATGTACTTATATATAATATCGAGGGAATTCCATTGCACTTAGAGGGAGAAATAGGGAGAAGTCCATCTTCCCCCAAACTGTGAAGTCTTTTTAATCTGTTAGTTCATTTAATCCTGGCAACAAATCTGCAAGTTGGGTGTTACCTCTGGGGGTGGGTGGGGGGAAACTTAGGACTTTGAAAGTGGAGGTTCACCCTCTGCTTGTGTAATGAGAAAAATGCACACCTCCTCTCTGTACAGCTGGCTTTCCCAGACTCTGAGACTTTCCCTGTGATAATGGCTCCCCCATAAGATCTCTGACCCAGTGGGGGAGAAGCCAATTTGAGTGTAAGGCAGGGGACACCTGACCACTTGGACATAGGTTTACTGTTGCAGATCATGTTCTAGCTCATTCTAGCCACCTCCCAGGAAAGGCTACCTTGGAGGTAACTCTGATCTGATGGCAGCAGAAGGGCAGCCCTCTCGCTCTATCTGGAAAGCTAATTCCATTTTCAAGACCACACCCGTGTAAGTGCAATACCGTCTGAGTGACACGTGAAGCTAAGATTTACGTGGTTGGGCTATGACCTGGAGAGAGGCTCTCACAGGCCAGTGGGGCATGTGAGGTACTTCAAGGAAGTCAGAGGCTGATGATGTCATATGAGGGAGTGGGGGGAGCAGAATGGGTCATCTGGCCCCCTCCGAAGCCTCTGCTCTTTGAACTTCCACTTGTGGACTGGCAGATTTCAAGAAGTTTCCACAGATGATCGCAAAGATGATCATTATGTAGTTACAAAATCATGATGACTTATGCTAAAAATTGGTGTCCCATGCATAGCAACTGAGTCCAGATCTTGCTCAAATAAAGATGCAAGATTCAGATGAAAATGTTTAGCCAAACACACACATCCAGGCTGGACCTGGGCTGACGTCACCTTCTCCTATCTCATGGTCACTCCCACACTCCTGAATGTCCACTTCAGTCACATCAAATGGCCCACGGTTCCCAACATAAAACAGGCCCTTCCATATCTCCAGGGCATAGGACACACTGCCATCTCTACTTGGAACGTCTGTTCAGCCCCGTCCTGCTCTGCCTGGAAGATGTCCCTTCCTTCTTCAAAATGCAATTCAGATCTCTTTTCCTTGAGAAGCTAACCTGACCTCCCCACCCCGCCAGGTAAGGTACATTGTCCCCATCAGCCATGCACAATGTCCTGCTTCCATGGTTGCTTCTACGTGGTCACTTCTCAGATTGTCTTCGTCTAGACGAGGAGCTCACTGAGGACAGGCACCATATTATCTTCATCTCTGTTCTCAGCACTTAGCAAAGTGCCAGACACATAGTAGGCCCTCAATAAATGCATGTGGATAAAGGAAGAAAGAAAGGAAAAAAGGGTTTGGAGGGATAGAGAAGGAGAGAGAGGGAGAGAGAGAGAGAGAGAGAGAGAGAGAGAGAGAGAGAGAGAGAGAGAGAGAGAGAAGAGGAAGGTCCATCTCTTCCCACTAGACTGGGCGAATCATTCGTCTTGGAATCTGCAGAACTCAGCACAGAAACAACACATCATGGGGAGGGGCTGATTAATGCTATGTGGATGAATGAGCAAACCAATCAGTCCATCAAGGGGCAGGGTAGTGGCAGAGCTGTCTTTCTGGGGGAAGGAATCATCTCTACCTTCTGAGGACAGGAATCAGGTTTTGATCACGTCGATAGCTCGGGGCTGATGGGAATAAACAGACTTGTCGATAGTCTGGTGCTCACTTTCCCTGGCAGAATTGCTTCCATAGGAGGGGGAATTCCTTCTGCAGGTCAGACCCAGGTCTCTGCCCCAGAGGGACCAGCAGTGGGAGGTTGTGTTCCATCAGAGGGGAACTTGAACTTTACCAGGTCATGCAGGGAAAGGCGGATGGCATGTCCCTCTTCTGAACACAGGTAAGAGATGGAAACATCTCTCAGAGGTCATCCAGTCTGTCCCCTTCATTCTGTAGGTGGGGATGCTGAGGTGTATGAAGAGGAAATGGCTGGCTGGAGTCACACAGTTAGTGACCCAGGTCCCAACTCGCAGCCCTGAGGCAGACACACAAGTTTGTACCAAGGAGCAAGAAACTCACATCTGATCTGGGAATCAGCTAGAAGGATGTTCATCTCCCAGGTTCCCATGTTACCCCGAGAAGCACTGAGTGGGACGTGGTGAGATGTAACTGTTCTTCCAGGGACGTTCCCTAAAGACACTGTCCTCGTCCTCTCACCTCACGGTTTTGGCTGAATGGACTGTCCTCAAGAAGCAGACATATTTGTCCTGTGACCTCTGATAGCCCACTCCCAACATGGGACCATGATGGCACCTGGTCATTAACCTGTGATACGGAATGACATGATGACTTGGG